TCCCGGGGTTGTGTGGTTCTTGCAGGTGTTTTTTTCATGCATGTTACAGACAGGTGGAGGCTGAGGCTCGAGTTGTGATAAAGGCTGCCTTTCTCATGTGTGTGGTAGGATAGGGGGCTTGTACGCTAATACTTGCCTCCATATGGCCTCTCCAAGAAAGCAGAGCTTGTGTAGGCAATTCTAGTCGATGGTGAAATGTTAAGCAGTAAGTTGCTTGAGAAAGAGGGAGAGGGCAGGAAGAAGGCATTTGTGTATACCCGGGGAAGGTTGTGCCTCCTTTAGTTGTCTGACCTTGAAAGTCACACATTTCTATTGCATTTTATTTTTTAGAGAAAGTCACTGAGGATAATCCATAATTAAGGGGGGTGGCTAGGAATTTAGGCTGCGATTCTTTCTTTCTTTCTTTCTTTCTTTCTTTCTTTCTTTCTTTCTTTCTTTCTTTCTTTCTTTCTTTCTTTCTTTCTTTCTTTCTTTCTTTCTTTCTTTCTTTCTTTCTTTCTTTCTTTCCTTCCTTCCTTCCTTCCTTCCTTCCTTCCTTCCTCCCTCCCTCCCTCCCTCCCTCCCTCCCTCTCCCCCTCCCTCCCACCTTCCTTCTTTCCTTCCTTCCTTCCTTCCTTCCTTCCTTCCTTCCTTCCTTCTTTCCTTCCTTCCTTCCTTCCTTCCTCCCTCCCTCCCTCCTTCCCTCCCTCCCACCTTCCTTCTTTGCTTTCTTCCTTCCTTCTTTCCTTCTTTCCTCTCTCCCTTCCTCCTTCTCTCCTTCCTTCCTTCCCTCCCTCCCTCCTTCCTTTTTTAATCTTTCTCTCCCATTCTCTTTTCTTTTTTCCTTCTTCTTCTTCTTTTCTTTCAAGATTTTTTTTTAATTGGAAAAGCAGATTTACAAGAAACAGAAAAATCTTCTGCCTGCTGGTTCACTCTCCAAATGGCTGCAGTGGTTGGAACTGAGCTCACTGATCCGGAACCAGTAGCCAGGAGCTTCTTCTGGGTGTTCTGCATGGGCACAGGGTCTCAAGGCTTTGGCCCATTCTCTACTACTTTCCTGGGCCACAAGTAGGGAGCTGGGAAGTGGGGCAGTCAGGATATGGACCAGTGCCTGCATGGGATCTTGGCACATGCAAAATGAGGATTTAGCCACTAAACCATCGCATTGGGCCCAGGACTCCATTTTGTGATGAGAGAAATGTGAAACACTTTGCTAATACATTAAGATGAACAAAGGTAGCCTCACCTTAGAGGATAATAAAACGAAATATATGTAAAGTTGGTTATAATTACATGTACAAAATGCTTAACATCTGGTTTATAATGGGCACTGAAGAAATCAAAGCATTGACAACAGGCAAAATGTACTGGGACAGCCGCCGAATACCAGCTCTAAGCGTAATCCAGGCTCCAAATGTGTCCTAGCAGTAGATGGTGCAGTTACAAATCTGAAATCAGGTGTGTCCGCTTCAGAAACTGCATTGGATCTAGTTCAGTGAGTTAATTGTTTGATTTCTCTGTTGTGTTCTCATGTGTCTGTCAGCATTGTCCTTGGATTACTCTTACCCTAGCACTGTATAAGTTTATCCTGTGCCAAAGGGAGGGACATTGAGAGCGGTGGGACAAGGTCTGAGAATGGGTGCTGTCTTATTTGTGTATTACTATGGAGTGCAATGTTATTGAGAAGCAACATTAAGATGTATGGAAATTCTTCCTATTGATGTACAAATGACTAGGTTCTGTAGCGAGAGTATCAGTTGCCTGTTGTTTGAATAACAGATTGCTGCAACCACAGAAACTTTGAAAAGCACCAACTCCTTGTCTCTGCTTTGGGGCCAGGGAGGGGGTGTTCACAGGTGAAACTGAGGCATCAGCTCGTTGGGCTTTTACAGACAGGCAGACAGGTAGCTCTGGAAAAAATTCTCCACCAGTCTGATTCAGTTGTTTGGCCAATTCCAGTTCCTTGTGTTGTAGAACTGGGTCCTTACTTCCTTGGCTGACTGACTGTCCCAGGAAGTGGGTCTTTGTCACCAGGAGCCTTTCTTTGGTCCTTGTATGTGGATGACCCTCATATCTTAGAGCCAGCAGCTGTGTCCTGCATCCTTTGTACCCTTGGAATTTCTCTGACTGCCTGGTGTTGCAGTGTTTCTTTTCACCTCTTTCTCTGCTGTACAGCTCTGATTCTAGCTACAGAATAAAGTTGCATGCTTTTAAGGGCTCATGTGATTAGGACTACCCAGATAACCAAGGATGGTGTCTCTATTTCATATTCCCATCCTTCCTTTTGCTGTGTGATGTGACATTTTCATAGCATGCAGGCATGAGTGAGTGGCCATAGCTCTGTCTATTGCAAATAGCAGCATTGGACCAATAGAGGTATGTTCCCTTCTACTCACTTCTTCAGGAAACTAGGTCACCCACTTAATTTGTGTGAAGCACTTGGGCTTAATTATTATACTGACCCTACATGTAAAGGAAAGGAATATGAATTTTATGGAAATAAATCTTGGTTTCAGTGTTGACAAGAGATGAGTATTCTTTCTTGATATCCAATGATTTCTTGAACATAATATAAGGATTAAGAGAATTTGAAGTCAGACTAGACCTGGCACAAGTAAATTATACTCATAATCTCATTATCCTCATCTTTAAAATGGTCTCATAATTCCTATAGTTGCCATGTGGCAAAGTCTATTAAAGTGCTTGGGAATCAGTGCTTAATGAGTGTTATGTAAAGATGATAATAATAATAATTCAGTGGCATGAGAGTACTTCAAAAAGTTCATGGAAAACAACTATGCATGGATTTAAAATTGCTATGCACCAAGATAAGCTTGTTTTTAAGTTCCATTTTTCCACAAACTTCTTGAAGTGTGCTCATTTTCATATTTCTTTTATAGGTATGGAAAATGCATGAAAGGACCTACTAGAATCAGTGGTTGAGTTTCCTACCAGTCTCATATTGGCTTTATAAATTGAATTATTAGTCTGATAGAATTATTTTATTAGACATGTGAGTAAAATGATAGCTCTGAAAAGGTTTTTTTTTTTTTTTAGCATTTTAGCTTAAGATAAATTATTTGCTTTTAATCATAAAATGTGTATTGACTGAAACTCACAACCATTTAAGATGAAGAGTGGCGAACTATAGTCTTTTAAATCTTGTGTACAGCCTGTTTTTGTAAGCCTGTAAGCCAAGACTAATCTCTCTCTCTTTTTTTTTTTAAGATTTATTTATTTTTATTGCAAAGTCAGATATATAGAGAGACAAGGAGAGACAAAGAGGAAGATCTTCTGTCTGGTGATTCACTCCCCAAGTGACCACAATGGCTGGTGCTGTGCCAGTCCAAAGCCAGGATCCAGGAACTTCCTCCGGGTCTCCCATGAGGGTGCAGGGCCCCAAGGCTTTGTGCTGTCCTCAACTGTTTTCCCAGTCTACAAGCAGGGAGCTGGATGGGAAGCTCAAGGCAAGGACTTTAGCCACTAGGCCATGGCACCAGGCCCAAGACTAATTTCTAAAGACAGATGTTTGAGGTTGATTTGATGGTTGGAAGCACAATTTTAAATCTTTTTAAAATAATTTATTTATTTTTATCTGAAAGCCAGAATTTACGGGGAGAGAAGGCAAGACAGAGAGGCCCTCTACCTGCTGGTCCACTTCCCAAATGGCCACTCTGACTAGAGCTGAGCTGATCCAAAGCCAGCACCCAGAAGCCTTCCTCAGGTGTCTCACATGAGTGCAGAGCCCTAAGACTTTGGGCCGTCTTCTGCTGCTTTTCCAGGTCACAGGCAGAGAGCTAGATGGAAAGTGGAGCAGCTAGTACACGAACCGGCTCCGATATGGGGTTCTGGCATCACTATACTGGCTCCTGATTTTAAGTCTTAATTAAATAAAATGTTGTTCTATTCCATTCTTCCCATTCCCTTGTCTTTCTTATAATTATTGTGCTTGATTATTATTACTATTTCAATATCAATACAATTTGTCAGAAATTTTATCTCATATACCCACATAATACTGACTTTGCTTTTTTATCTACCCAGCCTAAAATGTTTGCCATCTGATGCTACATACATTTTTATAATAATTCCTGATCTAAGCCACTTATTCAGTGTTTAACATGAATGTGTAGGGATGGGCATTGTGGCACCACAGGTTAAGTTACTACCTGCAATGATTCTATCTCATAGGAGTGCTGGTTTGAGCCCTGGCTGCTCCACTTTCTATCCAGCTTCCTTCTAATATGCCTGGGCAAACAGTGGAGAATGGCCTAAGTACTTGGACTCCTGCCACTCATGTGGGGGAGCCTGATGGAATTCCACATTTCTGGCCTCTGCATGCCCAGCTCTGACTTTTGCAGCCAATGTGGGGAGTGAACCAATAGATGGAAGGTCTTCCTCTCTCTCTGGCTCTGCATCTCTCTCTGTCTTTTAAATAAATAAATACATCTTTTAAAAAAGCATGTGAATGTGTAGGCACTTCATAATTGCAAGGTTCCACCAATATCTAATGTAATATCTTAGTTTTAAGTTAAAAATTAGCCTTAGAAAGTTTCTAACTCAACTGAGCCTAGTGAAGGAGGCAGGTCCAGCTATTCAGGCTCATGACACTTAAATCAACTGGCACTTTGTACTGGAGTAAATGGAACCCCCACGTAGCATTGTTATATTATATTCATCTTTTGTTAGTTTACGTTTATGTTGTCAACAATCCAAAACTTTTGGGGGTAGGGATAACATATCCTTGGTGGTGCAGATTAGAGACACAACTATCTGTTGATGCTTGTGCAAGTTCTGGCAAACTTCATCCTGTTGCTGTATTCTCATCTCTGGGGAGAGCCCTTTAGATTCTACAATTTCTCTTGCAAGTTTTTTCAAATGCACTGTTGATAACTTTTCCCCTTAGGTCAGTAGTGGTCAACCATCATGATTATCTGCTAATAAATCCACCCACGTCATGTTTGTCTTTGCTCCCTCTAACCTGGATAATGATGATCATTGTGTGGTATTTTGTTCTATAGGTGGTTTACAAATCCAACAACAGTCAATGCATTCTACAGTGCCTCTACCAACCAGATCCGTGAGTACTGACTTCTTCCCCTGACTCTGAGGAACAGTATGACATTCTTTATACCCGTCCTTCCAGAGGGACCAAGAGTGTTGGTGAAGGCAGTATGCTTTCCTGTCCTGTTTTCCTCATCACATTAGTTTTTTTTTTAATGCTCTATGTCACCACCAATTGATATGCTTTCCTGTCCTATTTTCCTCATCACATTAGTTTTTTTTTAAATGCTCTGTGTCACCACCAATTGATAATAAATGCAATCGTAATGAAGTTTACCATGAAGAGGAGCCAGCTTCCACTTTGTTTCCATAATAGTCTTTCTGATTCTGTCCGTACCATTTTGAGATCCCCAGGATAAATGGAAAAAACTATAGAAAACTGAGCAGATTATATGAGAGTTCTCCAAGAATTGTATGGAGAAATGAAATAAGGTAAGTTTGGTGAAAAAATTTGAAATCTTCATAGTTGTTTTTAAACAATATGAATTTCCATGAATTTTTTGAAGACTCATTATATCTGAAAGTCATTTTTCTTTCACCGTGATAAACACTGTTTCATTCCCTTTTATATAAACTTTTAAATGTGTCTTTGTAGAATCTGAGACTGTCCGTAGATAAGAAAGAAGTTCAGACGTGTTCTCACCCTTGGTTACAGTGTCTTGAGTTTTTTTTTTTTCATTATATATCTGTGTACATGCAGCTATTAATGCTGTGATAAAGTTTTAAAATTTTTATTGCTGGTGGCTTGGCATAAATAAAATTCTGACAGTACCCAGCATTGGCGATGAGAGTGTGTGCACACTGCTGGTGAAAGTATAAACTGGACCGCCCAACTTGCAGGGCCTTTTGACAGTATCTGGAGAAGTTGAAGAGGGTACTCATACTGTTGACCATCATTGACATGCCTTGGATTTGTCTCAGTGCTGGGATGGTGATGTGGTTCTTAGATGAGCAGGAATAGTATCATAGAGAAACTAGGAAAAACGAGGTCAAATGTATAGGGAAAGAGAAGAAAATAGTGGTTAGCAGGGTACATGTGGGTAGATAAGGAGAGGAACCTGGGGAACTGTAGGTCAAATGATATGAAGTAGCAGAAAAGGAAGATGAACAAGTTGAGAGATCTAATGTAGAATATAAAAACTATAGCTATTGTATCAGGATGTGGCCCTTCTCTTGGCTCCCTGACTCTAGCTTTCTGCTAATGCAGATTCTAGAAGGCAGCAGGTGATGGCTCAGGTAGTTGTGTGCCTGCCACCTATGTGGGACAGCTGGATTGGGCTCCTGGCTTTTGGCTTTGACCTTGCCCTGCTTAAAAATGTGAGCATTTGGGGAGTGAATTAGCAGATAAGAGTTCTGTCTATCCTTCAGTCTCCATCTGACTCTTAAATAATAATAAGCAATAGTGTGTCATGTTCAGGCTTTCTTTTGATAAGATTTTCATTTCTTTATTTGAAAGAGTTAGAGAGAGGGAGAGGTAGAGACAAAGAGATCTTTCATATGCTGATTGACTCCCAAAATGGCTGCAAAGCCAATCCTGGGCCAGGCCAAAGCTGGGAGCTTCATCTAGGTCTTCCACATAAATGCAAGGGCCTAAGTACTTGGGCCCTCTTCTGCTGCTTTTCCTAGGTATATTGACAGGGAGCTGGATGGAAATGGAGCATCTGAGATATGAACTGCCACTCTATGGGATACAGGCATCAGAGTTAATGGCTTTATTCACTACTTCACAGTGCTGTTTCCAGGATATTCTAAATGAGAAGAATGTAGCTACTTTTGCCACAGGTCAGGGAGGAGAGGGTGATGATGATGAAAGAGAAATGACAAATGTGTAAAATGATAAATATATTAATTTAACATTCTACTTTATTTTTTTTTAACATTTTACATTATATGTATATTATAACACCATGTAGTGTACCTTAAACACAATATAATTTAATAGCAAAACAGAGACAAGAAGAAAAGGAAATGAAAGGAAATGAAAATTCCTGGGACCTCCAAAGCATATTGAAGAGAGAGAGAGATCTTTTATTCCCAAATCATTGCACTGGCCAGGGCTGGGCCAGTCTGAAGCCAGAGTCAGGAGTTTCATTTAGGTCTCCCATGTGGGTGCAGGGGTCCAAGCATTTGGGCCATCTTTCGCTGGTTTTCCAGGTGAGTTAGCAGAGAGATGGATTGAAGATGAAGCAGCTGGACACAGATCACTGCCCATACGGGATGCCAGCACTGCAGGTAGAAGCTTTCCTGCAACACCACAACACTGGCCCCCTCAAGGACTTTTACACGTGGCATAACGAGCTTAATATGTTCAAAGCACTATTAGTGATAATAACTACAGGGGATAAAGGGACTAATCTTCATTCCCTGTGCAGGAAAATGAACCAAATGGGAAATATTAACACAAAAGAATGCTATAGAACTGTGAAAACAAGTGTTCTAGAAGGATTTTTATTAACATTGATGAATTTCACCAGCAATGAGTTGCATGGAACAAGACAACTTGGCAAACTACACCAAGTATGATACCAAATGCATAAAGTTCAGAATTCTGCAGAGGAATTCTATTGTTAGAATTAGCAAACACTGTGTACAGACTTAGACTTTGCCTGGCTACAACTCGTCTTTTAATGGTGGCATGCTCCAAGAGTGTGTTTTGTGCCTCTTCTCCATTTTCACTCTCAAGTGATACCATGTAATTTCCTGCTTTCCATCCTATTCCTTCACTGTTGGGGACAGGAAATGGAGTTCTCAGGCCTCAATGTCACAGAGCTTCCATATCCCACCTGGACTATGATGGTAGGCTTATTCCAGACCTCCTTGCATCAATTCTCATTCCCAGTTAGTTTATTCTTAGTATAATACTACAGCCTGTTTCAGGTGTGAAGTAAGGATATGGCATCCCTTTGCTCAGAACCTTTTCTGTAAAGGTTTATTTTTTATTTGAAAGAGAGAATGAGGGAGAGCGAGGTCTTCCATCCAGTGATTGACATCCACCCCCCCATGGCTGCAGTGCCTGGGGATGGGCCTTGCCAAAGCCAGGAGCCAGGAGCTTCTTCCAGGTCTCCCACGTGGGTGGGTACGAGGACCCAAGAACTTGAGACATTCTCCTTTGCTTTCCCAGGCCATTAGCATGGAACTTGATTGGAAGTGGAACAGTTAAAACTCCAACTGTAGCCCATATGGGATGCCAGCACTGAAGGCAGTGGCTTTACCCATTGTGCCACAACACTGTCTCCTGCTCATAACTTTTGATCAGTATTCCATGTCACTCATAGTAAGAGGCAAAGTCATAGACTGGCCTGGTGGCATGTTTTCTGCCTTTGCCTCTTGTTACTCTCCCAGTCCTTCCCTCTGTACCAGATACCTTCATGTTCTTAGAGCACATGTAATATATTCTTCCTGCATGGTGCTGATGCTTAGCATTTCCTTGGCCTTGGAAAACCTCCCCAAGCAATCTTTGTACCTCACACAACCATGTCCTCCGCATATTTATGGAAAAGCTGTCTTCTCAGTGAGGCATTCTGCTGGCCTTCTGACCAGTCAGCCAGGCAGTCATAGGCCCTCTGTGCTAGTCTCACAGGGCAATCCTTGGCTAATGGGGACAGCTTAATTCTTGGCTAGACTGAGCAACAACAAGACTCTGGCTGCTCACTCTCACAGGATACAGCCCCCCAGAGTCTCGCTCTGTGGCCACTATTGGCAAAGAAGTATTTGTAGGACTGACCTGAGAATCCTGGATGGAAGAAATTTCAGCTGCTTGGCCCGGTACGATAGCATAGTGGTTAAAGTACTCGCCTTGCATGCCCTGGGATCCCATATGGGCACCAGTTCTAATCCCGGTGGCCCTGCTTCCCATCCAGCTCCCTGTTTGTGGCCTGGGAAACCAGTGGAGGACAACCCAAAGCCTTGGGATCCTGCACCTGTGTGGGAGACTCGAAGAGCTCCTGGCTCCTGGCTTCAGCTTGGCTCAGCTCCAGCTGTTGCAGCCACTTGGGGAGTTAACCAATGGACGGAAGATCTTCCTCTCTGTCTCTTCTCCTCTATATATCTGACGTTGCAATAAAAATAAATAAATCTTAAAAAAAGGAAATTTCAGCTGCTTTCTTAAGGGCCTAAGCTCCAAACTGAGTACTAAATTGCATATATTTTGTGCAAATTTAGGGTACTTGATATACTATGACTAGCATTATTAATATTTATATTTGATTATATTAATATTTAGGACATTATTTGGATAACTAATTTCAAAGAAAATTCTTTATTGTGTAATATTTGGTATTGCTTCATGCAATTGAGTATGTGTAACATGCTAACACACCTTAACCTTAGAGGTTAGTATATTTTAGAAGTATATGAAAACATAGTACAGTCATTAGACATCTAGAAAATTTATGTAGCTATACCTAAACAGTATGTTATTTGTTTTTTCTTTTAAAAAGCATAATAAAACTGCTATCATACTGAATGCAATTTTAACAACTGAGATTTTTTTTCCCATATGTTGTTAAGATTTGCCACATAGCATGTGACAGTAAGTTTTGTTTTCATTGCAGTATAATATTCTACTGCTTCATTCCAGATTATTTATCTGTCTGACTATTGATACACTATGTGTCTCTCACTTCAGGTATTTTCTCTTATCAACAAGGTTGCCCTGAATCTTCTTGTGTGTATCCCCTGAAACAAGCATCTGGCTGTATATTCCTAGGACTGGCATCTCTGGCTGATAGGGTGTGCAAAGATTGAACCTTATAAGATAATGCCAGATGTTTTCTGGACTGAGTTCCCTGAAGTGCAGAAATTCTCATCAATCCTTGGCATGGAAGATTTCATTTTCACTCATCTCTCAGGTGTCCAGGGTCATCTCTTAGGCAAGAGATGCGTGCTTCTTTGCCAGTGCTTCCATACTCTTAGTTTAGTTTTTAGATGAATTTATTCTTACTTGAAAGGCAGAGTTACAGAGGGAAGGACACACACACCCACACACACCATTTTTTTAAATTTGCTACTTCATTC